CAAGGTCTGTGCGGATCACGCAGAATTTCTCAGCACAGAGCAGGGAAAGGTCAAGAACAAGTGAAGGTTTATGGCGGGAGGCCATTTCTGACAGATACAAGTTGACGCCGAGGTTAGTTAGCAGGTAATGAAGATGAAATCGATAGCTCTCATAGGACAAGCAGTCCTGCTTGCGCTGCAAGGGTAAAGATTACGGCTTTCCTATTAAGCTCCCACATTCCACACACGCTCCTATATGAGGACCACGGCAGGGCCAGGAGGCCAATGCAACTAAAATACATTTATTGCTGCTGCCAAGCCTTGGGCCTCTATTCTCTCTGACTCTTTAAAGCCCAACTGCAGCCCAATCTCTGTCAACTTTTTATTGCTGCCTGGGCTCCCATCTGTATGATGTTTCCTCACTTCCTGTCTATTTGGTAGGTGTCAGATTGAACAGGAAGTGGTACATAACTAAACTACTTGCACATAGGGTCAATTTTACTATATATAATCAAATAAATATTAGTAATAATAGGCCAATAATCTCAGCTCTTTCCAAGTCATTTACATAGTTGATGTTTATTTTTATTGAATTATTATGCTGTCCAGAGTTTGTGATTTATGATTGATAATTCATTTTACTGTTCTTCACAGAAATTTTTCCTTGCCCAGCAACACACAACATTATGCCCTTCCACTGGCTTCCTTTATAATGCCCTACATAAGGCGTTACATGGGTTCCCCAATCATGTAATTCCTGTGATTGGCTGTAACCGTGATCACATGATCGGGAGCCCCTCCCATCAGCTCGTGACAGCACAGCCACAGTGCTGGGGGTAGCATGTGCTCAACACAAGACATCAATGCAGATATGTGGCAGCACTTCATAAAGCCCACTTCCATGCTGCCAGCATCAAGAGGTAAAGAGGAACTGTGACCTCGCCATGCCCCCCCCCCCCACCCCACATCCCTGACTACCTTTTACTTACCTTACTGGTGCTCCCTTCCACTGCGGCAGCCAATGACACTACCCAATGCTTCTGGGTAGGGGGGAGTATGTCACCTGCTCCCGTGACTGTGCTTAGGCTGGGACTGAGCACTGTTATATGTCTGTGGGAGTTCTGTGAGCTCTCTCCCGGGTTGCCAACACCATCAATTTCATCACTGGCTGTGATGGGCAGCCCCACTACAAGGGCTAATAATAATTTTCCTGGAGTTCTTCTTTAAAGTTATAATGATAAACAAAGATAGTTTATTCTTACATTATAAGATTGGGGATAATCAGATTCCGCCAGGCCAACATACAGCAAACCGATTTCATAATCACCCGCACTAATAATGCTAATTGCTCGCACAGCTCAATAAAGGAGAGCTGAGATATAAACACATAAAGAAATGATTCTCCGCTTCCAGGAAAAGCAACATTGAAAGCGCTGAATGAAAACATGACATTGAGTTCCAGGTACTGATCAAAGAAGATAGAAAATGAGCCGCTTTTATTTCTTTCTCCTCGTTTTCTAATCGGACGTACGCAGATCATTATTACACAGGATTTCTGAATTACACGGCATAGCCCGAATCCATTTTTTATCTTGCTGGAATTAATTGCATACAAATATAAAAATAAATGACTTCGACGCTGACATTAGAAGCAGATAGGCAGGGAGAAGCCCCATTTTCTCCGCCACCTGCAGTGCTGTCACTCTGCCAGTTCTATTACCGCTACAGATCGAGAACGGATAAACATGACACCGGTGTGATCTCCACGGCTCCCCCATACCAGCTGACAACTGTGCACTTTCAGGGGGCGATTATTGAGAAGTGGGAGGATGACAGAACCCGTGGGAAGGACACATGGACCAGATCACAAGACTAAGGTTAGATGGCTGTCTTAAAGTGAACCTGTGCTTTGCCAGTCAGGACAAGGCAACACGTTTACGTAAAGACGAATTAAAGGCAAAAAAGATAAAAAATTAATAACAACAAAAAAATGCAAATAAATATATATATTGTATATATATATTTTATATATAGTAGGGATGCACCAATACCAGTTTTTCAGTATCAAGTACGAGTACCAATAATATGCTTTTGGTACTCACCGATTACGGTGCTTCTGCTGGCATGGAGCCGGCTTCCCAGGCAATCAGGAACCTGGGCAGCGGGTAATGACATGCCACCCGGCTTCCTGATTGCCCAGGAAGCTGGCTCCATATTGTTTGACCAACTTGATTGCGATTGGCCCGGGAAACCAGCTTTCCAGCCAATCAGCATGGAACCGGCTTCCCGGCCAATCAGGAAGAAGGGAGGCGGTTGATTACTTGCCGCCCGGCATCCTGATTGCACGGGAAGCTGGCTCCATGTTCCCCTACGGCACTGTGGGTCAGAGGAGGTATTGGAGCAATTGGGCAAGTACGAGTATATATATATATATATATCTTAGGGATGCACCGATTCTAGTATCGGTGCCGATACCGAGCATTTGGTTGAGTACTCATCCTAATGCTCCGATACTTACCCTCGATACTGGGACTTCCGGTCAGAAGGAGATTTCCTCTGAACGAAAGTGCAGCAAGGGAACATGGAGCCGACTTCCCAGTCAGGCGGCGGGTAATACCGCCCGGTTGGCCGGTTTCCTGGCCAATCATCATTGAGCTGGCCAAACAGCATGGAGCCAGCTGCCCGGCCAACCAGGAAGACAGGCAGCATGTACATAACAGCCACCCGGCTTCCTGATTGGCCTGGAAGCCGGCTCCATGCTCCTGGAAGTACCGGTATCAGCGAGTACCAAAAGATAAATAACCGGTATTGGTGCATCCCTAATATGTATATACACACTGCATAATATTTATTATATACTGTATATATTAGCATAGGTTAGACTTACCTGCCAAACCGATCCCTTCTTGCCTAGCGCTCCTCAATAGTACTGCCATCTTCGGCTCAGTCCTCTTCTGGGATCCAATTTGTCAGCCGCCTGATTTTCCGGGCCTTGATGACATTGTTCCCACACATGGGCATGGCAGTTACTTCTACTCAGCATGATGGGTCTGTGCTCTGAGCTTGCGCATGCACATGTGTAGTGTGCATTGTGTGCACAGGCTGCCTGTCCCAAACTGAAACTCACAGAGGCAAAACATTGTCCAAAACAGGATTCATTTCCCACTATTGGCCTAGTAATAACATAAAAAGTACCTTTTTCTTCTAAGCAGCGCTTACAAATATGAAAACACAGATGACAGATTGGTGACTGGATTTAGAGTTTTGCCAGGAGTCCCCCATAGGGGGTACATCCCAGGGGCTTATAGTCTTACTTAGAGAGTACAAAGAGCAAAACACGCAACTAGCAAAACAGCTGGCTGGTCTGGTCTACATAAAATGCATATCAATTATTTAAAAAGCTTTAAATTGTTCATTAAAAAATAAAGCCGGCAGAGGGAAGTTAAAGAGGACCTGTCTTCAAATATAAACTATAAGAAAAAAACAGTCACTATCACAGATCTGTAGCCTGACCGTCATTTCACACTTTTCCCGTCTGGTATATTAGGAATAACTGCTGCAGGCAACTACTAGCAACCAGTTAGAATAAAGTCTGCACTGGGAAATCAAAACCAAACAAAGTGTATTTAAACCCCCCCAAAAATTTATTATATTGCACAGGGGCGTCCCGAGGCTGGGTGACACCCAGAGCGGTGTCCGAGGGTCACCCGGCAGAGACGTCATCGCGCACGCGCGGAAGTATTCTGATACCTGCCGGCGCCCATCTTGGTGATGGACGCCGACAGAGAGAGGAGTAGACAGCCACCCGGCGGGATAAGGTATGCCGCCGGGTCCCCTCCTCTCTCCTGATACTGTTGGGCGTTCGGCCCATGACAGATCGCCCGACTTTTCAGAGGGGGGTGACACCAAAATGACTGTAAGTCATTTTGGTGTCACCCCTCCAATGGTGTCACCCTGTGCGGGCCGCACCACCCGCACCCCCCTTGTGACGCCACTGATATTGCAGCTTACCCGTCCTTAGATTTGGTTTGTGCATTCGTTTTCCTTTTTCAGGCTAAGATCATTTTCAGCAAGTACAGATCTTGCCAGAAATGCCATGTCCTTGTTATGTCCTGTAAGCTTACATGAAAGCTCAAAGAACCTTATCAACAGTATATTATGTAAACTACTAGTACGACCATCAATACACCATGCAAGGAAAGGAAAAATAGAAGACATGTTTAAAGTCCGGCCTGTGTGACAACCATGGCTCCTTCCACCCTCCATAGATACAATGGAGAAACGAATGTAGCCACAAAGGGACAGGAAGTGTGTTACTGGCAGAATCACCAGGTAAAAGAAAGCACGAAAAGAAGGAAACGAATGCAGCCACCACATCTTAGGACTGACATAGTGCAATATATGCCATTTTTGTTTTGGGGTTTAGCTGTACTTTAATGTCCAACTGACTGCCATAAGCTGTGTGAGGCAGCACTTCTATTAGATAGCTATGTAAATAATGCCCACTGTGTTTAAAGCTCATCCTCAGGCTTGATCTTTTCTTGCAGAATAATCAGAGAGATGACCTAATCAGTCTTCCGCTGCTCCTTTACTGTCCACGGTACCTGGTTAAGAAAGGCTGTGTGAGGTCTTTTTCACACGGGCCTCTGCGTTTGCTTCATTTACGCAGGAGAAATTGATCTGGGAAGTAGTGTTCCTTTTCCGTTCATACTTTTCCCTCCAAGCCCATGCGTTTACAGGATTTCATCTGCCCGTGAATGCCGATTTTAATTTTTTTCAATGCAAATAAAATGAAAAGACCTAAACACATAGTGAGATTTATACCATTAAAAAACATCACGTGCTTTGGAATATCCTATAAACGCATATGTTTGTTATTGCCAGTGTTGATGGGGCCAAATCTCAAAAAGGATAGAAAGAGATATAGAAAGGGATCCCATACTTGTATTTTATCAATGTATTTAGCTGTTTGCCTGCAGAATAATATTCAGTCCTGCAGGTGGTAGAAGATTGTCCCTTACCAGCATTGCCCATGCGGAGGTGGAGTCTTCCTTTAATAACTGTGTGAACTCCAATGGGTTTAACGACGCCTTGCTTTGAGATATCACCGCTCATGACCATCAAGTCTTGTTCGTATTCCGTCGTGATGACCTCCAGCTCGTGAGCCACCTGAACTGCGGTGCGGCCTTGACGTAGCAAATGCTGTCAAACACAAAATGCAGAAAAAGGACCATAAACAACTAGGACCTGTCTCTTGTAAGCCTGGCATTAATACAGTCCCTCTTAAAGTGTACATCAAGTCTAGTTTTGGATAGAGCGAGGACAGATTAGAAACCCTGTCACCCTGACAATGATTTCCCCAGACAGGAAGTGAGGGCAAATATGCAACAGGGACATGCACGGAATAAAAAATGAACACATGGGGTTATTGGATGAAAGCTCAGGGAAGCCTTTCTTAATCTTTTTAAGACAAAAGAACCCTTGAAATAATCTTTAGATCTCAGGAAACCCCTGCTCATGTTTATTATATATACACCTCACGAACAACAAGTTGAGATAAAAGAATAAATAAAATAAGGAATGTGGTGCACTTAATGTATTTGAGCTGCTCTATATGACAACATTATTTTCCGTAATAATAAAATTCAACAAATTACAAAAACAGAATTAACAATCTCCAGAAAAGAAATTCAGGCATTGGCTGCTGTTGTGATCCTGCACATTGGTGGCCAGTGGTGAAGTGTCGGCTTACATTGATGGTCAATAGGGATGAGCTCAGATTCGGATTGAACCCAGTCTGAACCTGGAATGGACATGGGCCCACCCACCCAATTACCTGCGGGCTTGTGCTTCCCAAAAACAAAGGTGCTTGTGCTGACATCATTGACCATATATGGCCACATTAGGTTATTGTCATTGACCAAATATAGCCATGTGGCCACATAAGGTGAATGACATCACAGCATCCTGCCCCTTTCCTTACATGCAGCTGCAGGTGAGGAATTCCCCCAGCTGCAGCCAATTAGGCATCAGTGGAAGGAGCTTCTTTGAAGGCTTCTGAGGAGCGGCAAGGTAACCATGTCTACTGTGCATGTGTGTGGTACCGGTTTTTGTACCATAGGAAAACGGGCACTTGCGCGCATGTTGTGGGCATCGGGACGTACATGCGCAAGCACGCTAATCTGGTGCACAGGCACGCTAATCTAGCACACAGGAAGTGATACAGTACCTATAATTGATCTCTCTATTTAAAGCAAGCACAGCCTGGGCTTAGTTGCTGGATGGTCTTTCAGCTGCTCCATGTGATCCTGTTTGATCTGCATGTTTACCGCTCTTGCATCTTGACCCGGATTGAACCTGACTGCTCCTGATTGCTGCCTGCCCTTCTGACCTTGAAATTGTTACTGGACCTTGCCTCTGCCTCAACCCTTGTACTTTGCTGTCCGACTGGTGTGACCCCTGGCTAGTCAGACCTCGATTCTGCTCTGGTACCCTGCTGTCCCCCTGGTGTGACCTAGACTCTGCTCTACCCGATCCTGATTCTGGACTTCTGCCTGGCACGGTGTTGCCCCATCCACTGGCACCCATGCTACTGTTTCTCAGGCTCTGTTCCCATCCTCAGAGTTTGGGGGACACAAGGTGCAAGGGGAGCCTCCTCGTCCAACCAGTCTCCAGCCAAGTACGTGATAGGAACTCAGGTTTGGTCCAAACCTGAGTTCATCCCTAATGGTCAGTAGTGAAGTTCCCCCTTACACTGGTGGTCAGTAAAAAGCTCCTTTTAAATTGATGGTCAGTGTAGTGCTCACATTAGCGGAGAAGGGCCCCCTTAGATTGGCAGTCAGCAGGGGAAGGACCTCATTATACTGGTGGCCAGTGAAAAGAATGAGGCTGGTTTAGTAAAGGATTTCAAAATGTTAAAATAATAAACATAACGAACTGGTATGGATAAATGCAGAACTTGTAAGGGCACCTTGACACTGTTCAGAGGAGCCAAGTCACATCTATATCACATTATATGAATGAACAAAGCCTCACATGGTAATTGAATCAAAGTAAGTTCATGTGCACTACAAATCCTCAAAGATGCTCTTCACACATAGCAGATCCAAATACACTTAAAGGGTCAAAAATGTGATGTGATATACTTAGGAGGTAATAACTCCATATAATACCTTGTCCAAGGTTAGAATATAATCAACAGATTGCTAAACATATGTTAAGTGTGTGAAGAGTTGTGAATTCCATCTCCTAAGTACCATACAGCATACTATTACATATCTCGAGGGCCTCCTATTACAATCAGAAGACTGGTGCCCCACTACATTCAATGATCTTGATCAAGATATAAGATACCAGACCATTGATCGTAGTGGGACACCAGTCTTCTGATTGTAATAGTAGGCCCTTGAGATATGTAGGTGGCCCTTGAGATATGAAATAATATGCTGTATGGTACTTAGGAGGTGTATAAAGTCTCAACTCTTCACACACTTAACATATGCTTAGCAATCTGTTGATTATAATCTGACCTTGTCTGGGGTATTATAAGGAGTTATTACCTCCTGAGTATATAACATCACATTTTTGACCCTCTAAGCCGATTTGGATCTGCTATGTGTGAAGAGCATCTTTGAGGATTTGTGGAGCCTATAAGATTACCTTGATATAATTACCATATGTGAGGCTTTCTTCATACACATATCGTTATATAGATGTATGAACAGAGGTGTCCCTTGCACACCATACAGCAATCAGGACCTTTGGTGCTTGAAATAGCAGTGGTGCTTGAAGTGATGAAGATCACCAGCACTCGAAAAATGGAATCAATCTAAAAGCTCTTTTTATTGTAGAACAACGTCACATGTGTAATATAGCCAACATTTCGGAACCGCGCAGGGTCCCTTCATCGGGGTAAACATAGTGACCTATGATATAGATGTGACTTGGCTACTCTGAACAGTGTCAAGGTAACCTTACAAGGACTGCAATTATCAATACCGGATCATTATGTTCATGTCGATCTATGGATACCAGCGTGATTATATGTGATCCAAACCTAAGTTGGATACCTATTTCTTTCACTTGGGATTACAAGAGAGCCAAATATCTTTAACATATTACGATCATGAGTACATTCACCTGACCAGAAGGCTTTACAAGTGATAGAATATAGGTGCTGACAGTGAACAGAAGGGATGAAGATTATTATTATCTTTTACCAACTGATACGAAATTACTGGCTTATATCCATGCAAGGACTTTGACTTGGTGCCGATCCAACCGAATTCAAGCAGTAGTGAAAATTCTCTGAAACTTATGGAAAGAAGTCTTGTTTACATATTCATCTTTGTCTGAGGTCCAGTGGCATTTTTGAAGTGAACTCCAGGCACAACAAAAAATAATTAATAGCCACAATGGATATAAATTCCCTTTGTGTGCACTAAATGCCTTTGCTAACCCAGTTTATTGCCTTTCAAAAGCAGCAGTAACATCATCATTGTGCTGTACATACCCTGTGCAGAGAGCAGAGGTGTGGGAGGGGCCCAGCAGGCCACACCCACTACAGGAAACTACAGGAGGGGGCGGAGACAAGACCAGTCACCCTGCATGAGTCGAGAAAACGACAGTGAGCGGTCTTTATTACAGGAAGCTCCAAGTCTCACACTAGATTACAGCACAGATCTGGAGGAAATAAACAAAGCTCACCAAGATTCAAGGAAGAACACACATGACTCTTGTATTTAGACAATTTTTGCTTATTCCAGAGTTCAGCTTTAAACAATTTAGATGTTGTTCCATGAACATATAATTATAGGCATTTCCTCAATTTCCATGAGGGTTCTTTTTTTGAAAGCATGGCATGTGCTTTTTTTATGTTTATGTTATTAACCTACGGGGGTCTATTTGGGCAAACTAGAAATAAAGATTTTCTAAAACTCTTACTTCACATTATTATAAATATAATTTTTTCAAGATCCCCTAAAGGGGTAGACAATCTCCAGACCTCCAGCTGTGGTGCAACTACAAATCCCATTAGGCATTGCAAGACTCTGACAGCCACAGACATGACTCACAGAGGTAAATGCATGACGGAATTTGTAGTATGAAGGGTTTGTCCATAGGCGACGCTTTAAAAGCCTGTACAGGTCATCAGTTTAGAGTTAATCATGAATATCGGAGACAGAATTATTGCTCTCTGGCACCGATGGTGATACCTAAAATGTGTAGCGCAATTGTCGTTTTTGTACAACGGTGCACCCGACGCATGTGTATGCGTGTGTTCACGGGGGTGCGGGACTTAAACTTTTCTTTTTTGGGTCATTTTTTTCATAACTTAACTCCATTGCTATCACATAGGGAGGCTCACAAGCCCCTTATGTTATAGCATATTAGTAGTGACAGGTACTCTTTAAGGAGACATTAGGGGTCTATTAGACAGCATTCCATTTCAAAGAAGCCATCCAAGCACAGAATGAGCTTGAATAGCTTCTTTCCTGGCTTCCCTAGCCGGGGAATGACAACTGAGGAGTCAGAAGTAATGCATGGTTTCCGGTTCCATTCAGGAGATCGGCAAACGGATGTTCACCAGTCTCTCTCCACTCCATGCTGACGCCCGTGATGCCGGTCCTGGGCTGGAAGGTCAGTGGAGCCCGGGAAGCAAGGCGGGGGTGTCCGACAGGGGGGTACTCTTCACTGGCCCCTGGAAGCGATCTAGAGGAAGCTCAGCTGCTAGAGTTGCTTCCACTGTAAAGCGGACAGTTGGCATTACACAGATAAACAGCTAGGGGCCCTCTGCTAGGGCATATGTCGTCAGCAGTGAAAGGGTTAAACCCTATTTTGTCTAGTTGGAGACATTTTTGAGGGAAAATTAGCAGGGAAGCCAGCTCCATGCTTTCTGGCCAATCAGGAAGCCAGGCAGCGAGTCATTACACAAAGTTCCAATATCGGGAAAGGCATCGGGAGCATTTGGGCGAGTAATCGCCCAAATACTCGGCATCGGTGCATCCCTAGCAAAAAACCTTACCTTCCATTTGGCAGAAACAAACATCTGACACAAAAAGCTGCTGACAAAAAGAAGAAAAAATGTATATGTATATGTTTTAGTATTTGTTTGTGTTTTGTGTTCCTGTTGGAGATTATCGCTCACTTTCCTTAAAACTGCTGTTGGCAGGACAAGAATTGAGGGTTCGGCGTTAGAAATA